AGCAAAATCATCATCAATATTTTGTATACTCTTATTTTTTCCAAGTAAGTTTGCAATTTTGTCATCCACATCTTTTTTTTTAATGCACGATATAATTCAAACTATAATTGTTTGCTATTAGATGCTTTATTTTCAAAATCGAGACCTGAAGTAATCATTTTTTGCTGAGAGAGAGAGATAGATAGAGAGATAGATAGATAGAGAGATAGAGAGAGATATCCATATAAATAATATTTACATGAAAGATATTTAAGCTATAGTGATTACTAATAGAATTCTCTTTTCTAAACTTTTCCCAATCTTTTAGTTCCAAACACTTTTTAAAATTAATTTGAGTATTTACATAATTTGATTGTTCCAGTCCATAATAATTGCTTACCTTTCTAGTGTTTTTTTCTCTTATATAGTAGCCTCTCTAGCTCTTTTACAGATGCTATGCTATGCACATTATTGTCCTGTTTTCTTATGGGGATTCTACCACTTTTGACCCACACGAATTTGAAACTAGCAGTTTTCCCTTTAATTCTGGCCTCTCGGTGAAGATTCTGAAATTCAGGAATAAGTGCTTCACTGAAGAAAAGTCTATCATGTTCTTCTTTTGTTCATAGTTCATAGTAGTTCGACCAGTTTTTCCCTTTGAATATGCAGTCATTTCTATCTTGCTCACTTTTGAATTTCACCATCAACATGGCAGAGCTTTTCATTTGCATGTGTTGCACACTTCTCACTTCCAATTTGCTTCCAATTTTTCCCGCAATTTCTTCATATAGTTGAGTTTTGTCCTCTTGCTTCCTGATGCCATGAATTTCTATGGTTTTTCTTTTTTTATATTGTTCTAATTTATTTAGTCTACCATTTAGAGTCCAATTTCAGTGTTTTTTTTTTTTTTTTTTTTTTTTTTTTTTTTTTTTTTTTTTTTTTTTTTTTTTTTTTCCACTGTATTTTTCATTATTTTAATTGCTTCTTTTAAAAGTTTATTTTCATTAATATTTTCCTGAAACGCTCACTTTATTTCATGAAGTTTCTCCTTCATAAAATTAATATCCTTAACTCTTGGTTCAAAATCATCTCATTTGATTAATTTGATTCTCTAGGTCCGTGGCACCCAAAACACTATTCTTGGGAGAATTGGTAGGATTTATCAACGGAATATAGAATAATAAATAAATAATAATAAAATAATAATATTAATAACAACAATAATAATAAATAATACAATAATAATAATAATAATAATAATAATAATAATATAATTAATAATAATAATTAATAATATAATAATAAATCCGTGGGAGTAGCTGGTCTCCTATCGCACGCGTGCCCCAGGTGGCGGATCGGGGAATGCTCTTACCGGCCACGCCGGAGAGTAGGTAGGAAATAAAATACCACCCGTAGACCAAATCCAGACGCTGGCGGCAGCGTTAAAACCCTAGGGGAAGGTGACCCCGAAAAGAAACCCGCGATGGAAGGGCCCTCAGAATCAACCGTTACGGTGCAGAGGATCGGAGCCCCAGTACCGGCAGCCGGGGGTGCGGGTGGGAAGGCAGGCCCCCGGCTGTCGTCAACCAGCGACTGCTATCTCCGAGACGTGGACAGCTTGGTGTCTCTGAAATTCTACTCTGCGACAAGCGAAAGCCTAGAGCGTGCAGGTTTTGACCCGTTTCTGGAAGGTCGAAGATCGCCTCCAAGTCCCGCAACCACTCCAGGGATAAGCACGACTGCGGAACGAGATGGCGCGGCAAATCCGCCGCAAACGGCAGTAAATTCGCCACAAAGTGGACCAGGAGGCCCAGTAGCAGGAAGTAAGGAATCTGCAGCTGACCTCATAATAGAAAAATGGGGAACTATGCAACAACTGGTAGAATCCCAAGGAAAGCTCCTAGATGAATTGAATCAAAGCCTGATGAACAAGATGTTATAGATGTCTGGACTATGGACACATTTCAACGGACTACAGAGGTCCTGATCGTAGCAAAGTATGTTACAGATGTAGTAGAACCGAACATGTTAAGAACTGTAAAAACAGAGAACAGTGTGTCTTATGTAAAGACAAAAACAAAGAGGATCAACATCTGTTAGGAATTAACAAATGTGCCTCCTTTATAGCGGCGGTTCAAAAGAAGAAAAAAAATCAAGTGACTTGACTCATACAGACATGGGGAGGAGTAAGCAGGCGCGGGACTTGATGCTGCAGGTTGCTACAGAGAGGGAAGTGGATGTGTTACTTACTAGTGAGCAACCTTACTGTGAGAATACGTTGTATCGAGATACCCCTGGAAGAGCAAGTATAATAATTCATAATAGGAAGCTGAGTATTAATAAATATAAGACGACGAAGTATGGGTTTGTATGCGTCGAGGTGAATAATATGAGAATTTATAGCTGTTACTTCTTTCCGAATGATACGTTAGAGAAATTTCAAAAAGACATCGACGAATTGGATACAAGTCAGAAAACAACGAAAGGAGAGGTTTTGAGAGCAGGTGATTTCAATGGTAAATCGTCGAAATGGGGGAGACACTAACTTGAACTTGTGAAAGAGTGAATGTTGTTGAAAGAGTGAATGAAGCACTCTATGGAGCTAAAAGATGACTAGACAGACGACTTCTCCAGATAGCAGTAGGAAAGCTGAAGCCGTGTTAATTACCGCTCGGAGGGCTTTTCGCTTTCCCGATATCTGACTGGGAGAAGCGAGAATAAGCTGGAAGCGACAAGTAACATATCTAGGGGTTGAGATAGTAGATTTAAATTTAGGCCACTCAAGTGATGTGGCAGAAAAGACAGCGAAGACAGGATCACACTTAGCAAGAATACTACTGAATGTAGGTGGACAACGAGAAGCCAAGAGAAGGTCGATATCTGGAGTAATTCATTCACAACTGTTGTATGCAGCACCAGTCTTTGCGTGTTCATTGGAGAAACATGTTATGAGAAATACGTATGCTCAAGTGCAAAGACGAATGGCCCTGAGGGAGGAGTCTGCCTACTGTACGGTGTCTACTTGCGCAGTGCTAGTATTGGCCAGTATCCGGCCAATCGATCTGATAGCTATGGAATGGAAAAGGACGTACTCCGCCTTACAGGAAGCTCGACAAGTAAACAAACCTCTCCCTTCCAGAGAAATCGAGATTATTAAGAGTGATGCTAAGAAACTAATTTTTTGAAGTGGCAAAGAAGGTGGAAGCTAAGTTAGATGGACATATCGGATAATCAATAACAGAGTGATCGAAAGTATTGAGAATTGAATTATTTGGTATCCCAGGTTTTACGGGACACGGTAGCTTTGGTAAATATATTTACAATTACAAGATTAAAGAAAGTCCGACATGTAGCTTTGTTGAGAAGATAATGTCAATACAGAACATACACTGTTTCAGTGCAAGGCATGGGATGCGGAAAGAGATACGTTAAGCTTCAACAAGTGATAACTCTAGGAAACATGGCGGACATAATGTTGAGTTCGGAGGAGATGTGGACTATAGAAGAGAACTACTTAGTTAATATCATGAGGGAAAAGGGGCGGAAGAGTTAAAGCACTAGCTTTCAGTCAATCTTCCACGCGAAGTAATGTCTAACAACGGTTCCCAAATGGGAGAAATCACGACTTAGGAGATGAAGGTTTAGGGTTTCAATTGGTAAACCAAGAACGGGAGTCTGACAGTACTGGTTTCACCGGCCTCCGTAAAGAATTTCCCCCCTTCTAAAATAATAATAATAATAATAATAATAACAATAATAACAATAATAATAATAATAATAATAATAATAATAATAATAATAATAATAATAATAATAATAATGTTCTTTATAGCGCCGACAGATGGCAGCTATGACATTAGGGCAATACATACAAGCTTGCCTACAGAAAAGATATTAGAAAATTAACTAGTGTAACAACATCTGTTCCATTCTGCATTACTACAAGAAACTTCTGTTCTTCAAAATTACGACTTAATTCAAATCTCCAAACCTTTTTCCTCGTAGTTCGAAAAACTTTATAAAAATGCCCCAGGACGGGTTTTCGTAATTTCCCTGAATTTTCAAAACGCGTCAAGTTACAAAATACGTCTCAATACGCATGCTCTTGAAGAACCGTCAGTTACATATTAATTTCTCGAAAAGTTTAAATGAAATTAGAGAGTTAGAGACCAATGTGAAGTATTGTATTCAAGTATCCAAGTATTAGACAATTACCAGTCTTAAGGAGTGTTAAATACTGAAGATATTCCTGAATTTCGTTTGGTTGAATCGGACTTATGAGTTTTCATGGAGATAATTATTTTATTATGCGATATTTCACAATTTTTTAAAAAATAATTTTTAAACTTTAATTTGCCGCAAAATTGAAACTTTAAAATCAATTTGAAAATTTGGAATCTATATAAAATATCTATTCTGCCCAGTGCATGTGAAAATTCTTAATGTTGCCCTAAACATCAGCTATATTATGGATTTTTTTTCAATTTTCTTATTGAATTGTAAATTTGATTGAAAAATTCAAATTCAAACTATTGTCCCATTTTGCGTTTAATATATTCGTATATAAAACTGTATCACGGTATCTATTACAATATTATTTGTTTGTAGTGGCAATATATGCAATATTAAAAGACAACTACAAAAAAAAAATTTGTGAATAATATTTTGCTCGATGGACAAACCCGCATCATAGAGTGAAAAACTTTTTTCTAAGATATCTTCAATTACTTGAGAGGCTCAAAAATTGCCAATTCACTTCAGCAAGCTTCTTGTGGCAGGTTACTACATTAGTCAGATGTCATACATGGTTACCATCATTATCCACATTGTCCGGCTAATCTGTAAATTAACAGGGTACGCTACCATTTGTCATGGACCCTTGCATCGTTATACCTCCCAAACATGTAATTGAGAACGAACCTTCTGTTTATAATAAAGAAACTCGGGACAGGTTTTAATGTCTCCATCCAATGCTTCCTTGTATTCAAATATCGCCCTGGAAATGTACAACATAGCTGTACCTTTGTTTCATCAATAGAGGTTTCCTCTTCCTTCTCCATTGGCTCAATGAACACGGCTTCTGGCAGTTCCAACTCCTCCTGCACAGAACAAAAATATGTCATACTGCAATTAAAGTAGCAGTGTTACTAACTGCACATACATCATCAATATGTGATTTTTAAAAATATTTCTAGATCTGACAGCTACAATCTCAACCTATCTTGAATTTGTTGCTGCCAAAATGAAATTTGTAGAATGTTAAGACCAATACTGTACATGTGGACAAAATATATTTTTAATTTTTGATGATTGATATGATCAATGATCCAACAAAGGGATATGTAGAAATAAAATAATTATTTTTATATCCTCTAGTCAAGATTTACAACCAATCCTAAATTTCTTTTGGCATACTCTGTACGAGCGACAGCTGTAGCATTCATTATTTATTTGCTGAAATACTTTTTTAAATGTGCATCTTATATGAAAATTCTTTTGGATGCTTCTTATTGCAAAACTTTATCAGGTTTTTGCCAAGATGCTAAGGCTTTTTGATTTCACTAGGTTATCATGATATATACAAGCATCATTGAGTGGGTTTATTTCTTTAACACCTCACAATTATAACCAGAAAGATTTATTCAAATGATAAATGATTAAAAGCCCTTTGAATAATACCAGCTCCAAGTTTTTGTAATTTCCAAAATATGTGGGGAAATACTATGTAAAACTAGTGGAGCTACAGAATGACACAGACTTTTCCCTATTAAGTTTTCGATTTTCTTCGGCCTCAGCTAGCTATTCAGACTTGCCAAGCACTCTCGCCAGCTGCCATCTTTCGCTGCACTTTTTTAGATTTTCTTAATTTTTCGCTTTTCTAATAGTAGAACAGAAATATCATTTTAAGAATATCAAAGAACAGTAAACACTCGTCCTAAATGACAATTTTGTTTCAAAAATTCGAAGCCGTTTTTAAGAAAATGGTGCTTTAGCAAATTCGGAATTTGAAGCTCTTTCTACCATTATTCGACATTTCGAAAAACTTTATTTGAATTTATTTAACATACTTTAACTTCCTAATACAATAATGTTTACAAATTACTGCAAATGTGCAAATTAACAGCGTGATATATCTTTCAAAAAATTACATTTATGACATTTTTGAAAAAATTAAAAAATACTCCAAAATTAACTTTACGTCTTATCGAAGTCTACAATTACCAACACTTTGAAAAAAAAAAAAGAATTGGAGCCGTTTTTGAGAAAATGGCTTTTTACCGTTTCTGAAAATGCGGAATTTTGAGCTAGTTTTAACAGAAAACATTCGAGTTTTCGAGAAACTTTATGACATTAATTAAAGCTCATGTAATCGTAAATGCAATGTATACAAATCGCCATTAATGTAAATATTAACAACGTGACACACAAGTGAAGAAAATTACATATTTGGAATTTTTGAAAAATACAAAAAAGAAGACTATGATGTTTATGTCATCTCGTTGAGTCCATTTAGTACTATCCCTACCAAGAGTTTAAAGAAAAAATTTGGAACCGTGTTTGAGAAAATCTTGTTTTTGTCATTTTGGCACATATTGCGTGAAAACTACTAATTTTTAAACAAACGTGCACTCTTAATAAAAGCACTCACTACGGGATCAAATTTTATTTTAAAAAAATTGAAAATACAGTTAATTATGATAATCGGACCTACGCCACCTGCATTAGTGTGTACAAGTTAAAGAAAAAATTTGGAGCCGTTTTTTAGAAAATTTTGAAAATGTCCCGAATGCTTCAAGTAAAGTAACCCCAACATTGAAGAAAGTTTTTAAAAAATTGCAGAGCTACGACTCAAAGCGAAATCGACATGAGTTGCCTCAATACGGAAAAAATCCTATGCATGAATCAGGCGCCAGTGTTGTTCACGTACACCAAACAAATGGAAGGACGGGCATTTTAAAACAGAAACCAAACACTTTTCAGTATCAGGGGAACCCAAAACGTGTTGGACCCCCAATACTGAAGTCTTGAAATCGATTTTCTGCAGCATTATATAACTTTCCCTGAACTACGTATATTACTACGCAAAAACAAATGTAGGAGAAAGTAAAAAATGAATAAGATAATGATTATGCATATTAAGATCTAGTAATTATTCCGGTTAACACTTACATAATACCTATTTTTTCATTGTAAAAATTATCATTATCACCTTTTCTTCCCAAGAATCACTAATATGCTATTAAGGAGGTCAGTGCCTGATTTCGACTAACGAGCACCCTACGCAGTCAAATGTTTTAGCACTCTGCTTTTAATTTGGTTTTTTAACACTAAAGTTATTTATAATATTTTTAATAAAAAAAGAGTTGCACGATATTTGTAACCGATACAAATATTGTGTACATATGAATTATATATCTATCAAATATTTTTAGGTCAATTAATTAAAAATATGAGTTAATTATAAAAATTTGAATATTTGAGTATTCTTTATATTTTGTTACAAACAATTTAAACTTTGAAGTCAAAATAACATTTATGTGCACCCATAAAACATGTGTTGTCATACCAAATCTCGTTTTCTCACTTTAGTATCAGCAAATTTCTTAACAATGTTTTCGAACTCTATGCATTCTAAATGTCCTTTTCTATGTATAACAGAGATAAATCATTCAATGTGTGTTGTTTAAGACTTGATCTCCGATAATTTTCTACGCACTTCAAAGCAGAGAAACATCGTTCACCATTTGCTTTCATTACAGACGTCATTAGGTCATCAAATAATCTCGTCAATTAGAAATATATCCTGCTTCGACAATTTTGTTAATAAAAAATTTACTCCAAATTTCCGTTTTCTAATTATTTTTTTTTCCACACATGTGGCCCTTTTTGCCATACCTAATGGCATAAACATATAGCACAGCCATAAACATATCAAATTTGGATATCAACTCAATGCAGCTTAAGAAGTTTTCATTTCGTGAGTAATCAACCATAACCTTATTACCGGAAAAAGAAAAAAAAGAAGAAAAAAAAAAATCCTCTTGATGCTAAAAGTTCCAGTTTTTACAATACTTTTCAGAACATTTCTCCAATATTCCACTTCCTCATTGCGCTGTTTCTCAACCTCTGAATCCCCTGTTTCTAAACAGACATACATACAAATTTTCTTACAGAATATTGGTGTTCGAAACTTATCATGTTGAGAAATGCTGTTGCTACTTTTCCAGTTGTTTAAATTGTCATAGCAAGCAAAGTAGTTCCACCATATAACTTGTAAGGAGCACAAAAGACATATCTTGTAAATAGTGAATACACTAACGATAACCTTTTAACAATTACACCATTTGCTATTGTTTTTTAGAAAAATGATTTTATGTGGGCGACTTATTAGATTAAACAATTAGGAACCAGCTTTATTGTTAGTCTTGTGTAAAGAGATTGTAGTAAAGTGTACATTGTAGTACGTGTGTAAATAAATCATTTTAAAGAATATAATAATTTGTCTTTTAAACTCCAAATTATTAATATATAATATAATATTTCAAGGTTGGGTGATAGTACAACCAAACGCAAAAACTTAGGAGAATAAGTTTGTTTCTGAATTCTAGTTGTTCAGTATCAATTACATGAAAGCCAATTTACAGTTTCATGGAAATTTCGGTGGCCTACGTGTTTATTAAAGTACAGTAACTACGTGTTGTATATAATTTGCAGGTGTCATATTAGATGTGAATTTGATAGTCACTGAGCAGAGCTCGATCATTAAGCTTTTAGAGGATTCAACAGATGTATATCAGTATTTTGGGGGCTCAGTATAAATATTAAATACAAGTTTGAGTCAAAAAATTCAAAACAATAGAATTTAAAAATTATCGTATTTCATTTTCAGACATAGATACAGTTTTTCTTAAACACATAAATCTATATCTTAATCACCGGTTGTGCTGATATCACAGTGAGATAAATATGTTAAAGTCAGACAATTAGTTACCAGAAAATCAGTCATTTGTCGTAATTTATTTCTGTCATTTCTAAACCGAACTGCTCAAACACACTTTGTGGACAAATTTACACATGTTGAAATACCAAATTGTTTTTGTTTTGCGTTGAAAATAAAATTTCAAATAAATATGTGAACTAATTTCTCATTGCGAGATTTCAAAAGTTCGCCTTTGCATCCATTAAAATTCTTCCAGCCTCAAAAATTGCGTGCCCCTAGGCTGCGGCCTGCTCTGCCTGTTCAGTAATCTGGCACTGAATTAGGTCTTGTCAATTCATTCCGAGATTCTGTATCCTCCATCTGAATACATTCAATGTATTTCAATTCAACCCCACCCCTACTCATCATTATAGTGCAAACATATTTTGATCTGCACAAACATTTGATTCTATTTCTCTTCTCACACCCGCACACACACACCAAACCAACCAACCCACCCACACACCAAACCAAAAAACAACCAAAAACCAAACCAAAAACCTAACCAACCCACACATACACACACAAACAAACAAACCAACCCACACACACACACAAACAAACCAACACACACACAAACCAACACACACACAAACCAACACACAAAAACCCACAGAAACACACAAACCAAGCCAAACATTCTAAGATCAAGTATTTTTCTTATTCGTGTTTTGTCACATTTCAATGTTTTATTACATTCCAGAGTTGTCATTTATTACTAACATTTATTGAAACAAAGAAGTTTGGGTTATTTAAACTCCTAGTAATAAGGCAAAGCCACATATCTCAGTTCGCATTTAGCTGCATTATCCCCATTTAAGTACACGTTACTTCATTGGAGCACAATATGAGTAATGGTGAGCAAGTAACATTCGTTATTAACCCTAGCAATACAAAGGTGTAAATGAACCTAGGAATTACCCAGGAAGGGCCTGTGGAGACCACTACCAAAATTTGATTTCACAGATGTTTTCATAATTTCCAAAATGTAATGAATTAATATAACTATTACTATACATGTGTGTTCATTTAAACAAAAAACTTTATTCTACTTCTGGCTTTATAAATGAAAAAGAAAATCAATATTCCCTCATCTATACTTGTATTTAATGTAAAATACCTTTTCCTTTATTATTTGCATATAATGGCTTGTGTATCTTTCAAACATAGTTATGTAATGAACTATATTCTATTACAGCTTAAAATATTATTTCCGGTGTGTTCTCAATGATCAGTTTTCATATGAAGAGACCTGTACATTTTTAACTCACAGCCAAGGAGCTCAATAATGAAAATTTTAAAATCGCATTAAAATTACCGCGCCTCATGGCAAATTGCATCAATACCTAAACAAACACCGCATGAACGTGAACTGAAACAACAATTTCCAGACATTGTTATCAGCAGAGTTATTAGGTTTAAGGAAGTTCACCCTACTGACATCAAGTGACATCTATAGGCCTTCGCACACAAGAAGTGCAATGGAAGTGATAATACACCTGTTAGCTAGCTGTACCATCAAAAGTTTATCAAATTTCTATTCCATTTGATTAACTGAAGTGACTATTTGGGACACTATATGTTGTAATTAAGACAATTCACTTTTCTTTTAAAATAATAGCAACTGGAAATTGGCAGTGCTTAACCAACTCCCTTTGCCCAACTTTACTTCTTAATTTAGGGAAGTAAATATGTGGGAGAACTAACATGCTTTTCCCATACCACTTGAAATTCAATGGAAAGATATTCACTGCGTTGGCAAACCATTACTGTTGAAGGAAGAACAAGTTTAAGAATGATATTTGGTGGTTAAACAATAATTGTTTGTTTTGGAATCGTGCACATAATTACTCAATAACATTACTTGTACTCCATAATTCATGAAACGGTAGGACATACACAAGTCAAGCAAAGAATGTAGTAGGCTCCCATAGTTTTATTATGGATTTCTCCCTTTTCAATCACAAAAGGACTTGCATATGAAAATGTGTAAAATTTTTTTTATTTTATTTAAAAATGAAGAATAACTACTCACATCATCTTTATTGTCTTCTTCTTTTACTGAATGTTGTAAAAATGTTGGAGATTCAGCTGTTGCCTAAGAAAACAAAAAGATTGCTCATTAAAATCAAGGTTGCCTATTTTGATGCATCTAAAATCGTCTTAACTAGAGCTGTGGTGAAAAAGTAATAAATTTCCCGCCAAGAAGAAACAAAATATTAAACTCCTCTACTGAAAATTAACTGATATTTAAAAAGTGAACTTGCATACACAGTTTGTTCATTCTCATTGCACAAAACGTGAAAATAAGGAGTTACTTTCTTAAGGATTTTTCACACACAAGAAGAGCATTCTTGACTTTCTTTCCATGCAAGCCAATCCGTTTCATAGATATCAGTCTTATTAGTTTATTATTATAGTTTTAGATCATTGAATACGTAAGTGATCTGTGGTTGACAATTCAAAGCACACGATTTATTTTCAAAAATCTCAACTTTAAATGAAAAGCTCTTTACTCTGCTTTGCTCTTACTCTCTACTTTGCTTCTAATAATTCTACGATAAAGAATTTTTCTTATTCGTCTTTTGTCACATTCCAATGTTTTATTACATTCCAAAGTAGATACTTATTACTAACATTTATTGAAACAAAGAAGTTTGGGTTATTTAAACTCCTAGTAATAAGGCTAAGCCACATATCTCGATTTGCAATTAGCTGCATTATGCCCCATTTAAGTACCACGTTACTTCATTGGAGCACGATATGAGTAATGGTGTGCATGTAATATTCCTTATTAACCTTTGTAATACTTAGGTGTAAATGATCTTGGAAATTACACAGGAAGGACCTCTGGAGTCCACTTGTAAAGTTTGCTTTTACTGATGTTTTTCATAATTTCCAAAAAGTAATTAATTAATATAACTAATACTATACATTTAAACAAAAAACTTTATTCAACTTCTGGCTTTATAAATGAAAAAGAAAATCAATATTCCCTCATCTATACTTGTATTTAATGTAAAATACCTTTTCCTATATTTTTTGCATATAACGGCTCGTGTATCTTTCAATCATAGTTATGTAAAGAACTGTATTCTATTACAGCTTAAAATATCATTATTTCTGATGTGTGTTCTCAATGATCAGTTTTCATTTGAAGAGACCTGTACATTTTTAATCACAGCCAAGAGGCTGCAATAATGCAAATTCAAAAGCTCAAGGAAATCACCTCCCCTCATAGTAATTGTATCAATATCTGAACAAACACAGCATGAATATGAATTGAAACAATAATTTCCTGCTTCCTAATAAAAAATTTTACCGGTAAAAAGCTATCAAAAATCATCAATGGTCTCCAAGGTGGAGTCCTTTGAACACTTTTGTTTCTAGAAATGCATCTTTCCGTCCTGTACTTAAATACATTACAAAACTCAGATAATACCCAAAAATGGAACAACAATTTACTACTAATCAGCTAGCTAGATCAAACTTAGGATTCAACACCAAAAAGACATGGATTTTCAGTCATCACCACTGCCAAATCCTTGCCTCTGTTCAACAACAGCAGCAACAGTACCCACCGCTGCAAACATGCCACCAAATTGAGATACATAGCGGATTTTTACTCATTATGAAGTTTTTGATAGGAACACTTTCAGTCACTGGCAGGAATGGAGTCAAATATTAATGGCTGCTGCAGAAGCTTTTGGGGATAAAACTGAACATCTGGCTATAAATTGCACTTACTTTCATTGCATTAGATAAAAAATTGGCGAAAAGAGGCACAAAATTTCAGTACAAATATAATCTAACAGACTGCCAAGAACTAGCATTGCACTGGGATTGAAAGTTACTCTGGACTCTCAAAAAGTTGATAAAATTAACAGTCTGGCAGTAATAAACACTTTTCATGGCAAGTTGCAATCATCAGGAATGCTAGAAATCCTTGCATCCTCATGAAATGAGTAAGCCACAACTGTTCACAAAGCAGCACAGAAGCGGGAAATAACAGACAAAATTCTGGCACTCTGTTCTGATACACGAGAATCATCACAGGTAGAGTAAATGGTACTTGCACAAATCAAGAATAGTTGTTTGAGGCCTGTTGTATCTACAGTATCATTATCACATTTGTAATAAACCTGGTTACATAAGTAGAAATTAAAAAATTTGAGAAATCAGTTGATGAGAATGATGTTCCAGAAAAAGGGGTTGCACTCATTGAGAACGTTAAAAAAAAATCCTTACAAAAAAAATGAAACAGTTTTTCTTTTACAAATCATTGGCAAAAATCAAAGAATACTACACAGCAACCAAATTATCTCTTCCAAAAAGATATTTGACAAATATCTTTGATGAAGAAATTTGTAAGAGTTCTTTGAACTTTGACAAAGGAATTTGACAAATGTATTACATTTCATCCAATATTTTATGTAGTTTTGCTTGCAATTCTAGATGGCATACAAATAGTTGTTTCTGCTACTTTATGCTTAATAAAAACTAATGTATGTTCAATCAACGCCATCTAGATCTTGGTTTAATTGTAAAGAAGTAAAAGGTAAAGAGAAAACATTTTAGGGTGAGGCTATGGGCCTTACATTGCGAAGCATACATTAAAGAACTTAAAAATGAGTTATTTAAGGATGGAAAAGGAAATATTCAATTTTCTTCATCGTTCTTTTCCTTCTTTCTAAATTGGGTCCTATGATTTTGAATTAAAAAATTTATTAACTTCATGGAATAGACATTTCCCAAATCCCACAATTTCTACTTTGAGAAAATATGCCATACGCATCATTTCATTTAGTTTTATTTTTGTAGTCCCAATGAACAGTATTATATAAACTTTCTAATAGCTAATGCTCCGAAACTTTGATCAAAGCAATATCTTTCGTATTCCTTTCGGACACCAACCACCCATGTTACCAAATGTATAATAAAACTTGGCCTTTGTGGTTACATTTTATCAAAGGAATTTTATACAAGAAATCTTTTATAAAATAGTAGCTATTACAGTCATATATTCTTTTATAAAATATCTTTGTATTTCTTTAATTTTTCAAGTTATTTAAGTAATTATTGAATGAATTCTTTAATTATATAATTCAGAATGTTCTTACACAAATTGATGGGTTGCTTGAATGAGTCAAAAAAATTGAAGGTAAAAGAGAATAGTCAGGTAGAAAACAGTTTACAGCTATTCATGAAATTATTTGTTGCATATACTTCCCACTTCAAGGTAGGTGGGGGTTGCTTAGCAATTGTTCAATTGTGCTGAAATTTTACATAGAGTATTCTTGACTAAACCACAATATAGCATGGAGCAGCAAAATTTTAACTTTAATCAAATTACCCTGTAGCCTGAAAGTATGCCTAACCCAAATGTATATACAAAATTAAAATCATGGTGAACTGAATTATGAAATAAAGATGAAGTCAAGTGATTCACAATTTCCTAAACAAACATTTCAGTTTGTTCATGAACACATAATAAACAGGAAAGAAGGAAAAAATTATTATTATCATCATTAACATTATTATTATTATTATTATTATTATTATTATTATTATTATTTTTATTTTTAATGCTTTAGAGTCTAGAAATCAAAAGTATGGCACCTAATGGAGATTAATTATATTCAAGACAAAGAGAAATTAATACTTCTCAATCAAATGACATCTCTAGGAGGGAGCGGCCCTCAACATCATTAAATAAAAATGTGGAGTGTCCATTAAAATATGTAACATCATTAAGCTTAATATACAAGCAATGCTCATAAGCATAATGTCACAATAAATGTAACTTCACAACTGACATCAATACTATAAACAGATACACTAACACTTCCTACCTCATATGCACACAAAATGTAAAGACGACATTCATCCATAATATTACTTTTTTCTTTTAGTTCTACTACACAGAACAATATTCTTGAATTTGATATAACATTAAATGCCTGAATATTTTTTGTGAATATCTCAAAGCAAGGAATTTCTATTAGATCAGATCAATAACACTACTACAAAACAAACTCACAATGGAATTCCAGCAATAGTCTTCTGTCTTGTCAACTGACTCTTCTTTGATCTGGACATAACAGAAGAAAACAGTAAATTAAAAGTTTATCAACATAATGAAAATCCTCACAGGTACATGATTTCTCAGGAGGCAGAAAAACAGTTTACTTTCAGAGTGATAAGACCTAGTAAACTGACTTTCTCTGTACTTAAACTTCACAAGTATAAAATAAATGAATAACATGCAAAATATACAAGATTTTATAAATATTGTTTTCAAATCCATGAAGTTGTACACTACGAAATCTATCTAATGCGATTGTAAGCTGCGGTCCTGGCAAAAGTGTATTCTTAAGTATTAAATTGTTTTAAATGGAATTTTGTCCAGTGCAGAAAGCAATGATCCCTTGAGATTCTGCAATGTACGAGTTCAACACATTAAATGTTTTCTTATTCATACATTTTTACCATTTAATATGAAATGTATTCTTTTGAACTGTTGTCCTAGATTCTTTTAAAACTTAATATAAATTATTTTGAAACATTCTTGCCTGCTAGTTCTTTTTCACAATACAGTGTCATTAATACACAATTGCTTAAGTGGAAAATCTAAAATCTCTTCAGTGTTGTTCTTGACACAGTGCTGGATAGGAAGTACAAAGCAATTGTCTAGGGATCCATGCCAGACAAAGGCTCCAACAATATACATTTTTCAAAACACTTGATTCAATAATTAAATGAGTCAGACCCTTCATTTGTGTAACCAAATGTTGCTTTTCGAGACATTCTGAGTTATGAAATGCACTATCCAATTGAAAGACAACAGAATGAAAACAAAAAGGGAGTACATTTTAAATACAGAAAACTATTTATTTTAATATTACACACAAAGTAACTTTTTTGTTTACAAATTTTCCAGAACTTTAAATGTAATAAAATATTATCCATTCCTTTTATATGTAAATGCATAAAGTCGCAATGCATACCCCAATAACACATAATATTGCGCGGAGAAGGAAGAATAACAAGGCGGAGATCCTCTCATTTGCTATTGTCCATCCTATCATTTGCAATCATCCAGAGCATTATGCATCAATCCACCAGTCTGGACCCATCAAGTCCATTACAAGTTGCGTATGAACATTCACTAATTGCAAAAATGTGTTTTCAAATCAAAGATTCCAATAAATAAATAATTAATAAACAAGATTTTCTTAAAAGAATTCATTAATTGATGGCTATTGGTCCCTGAGGAGAGACATTTCTTTTCTTTTTTTTTTGCAGTTCATGTAAGCAATACTGATGTTACCGTAATTTCGATTCAAAAACATTTTCATTTCTGCAACTATTTTATTTACGACTGGGGGACGGAAACAACAAAACGGTTTTATCACGCTGGTGAAAGGTAAAAGAGACCAAATGAAGTTTGAAACTTCCTGTTTAAATAATTGAAGTTTGAAACTTTCTGTTTAAATAATTAAAAGACGCAATGGTTTGTTTGCTTTTCTTGCCAAAATCGGTAACAGTATAATATATAAGCATGCATATATAATTTAAAAAAATATCGAGGAGCTCTTGTAAATAGTAAGGTTTTCAAAAATTTGTGACTTTTGCAATTACTTTTAAGTTTTACAAGTCATGCATAAACTTGTAAAACATACACTAAGTACTTACGTCTTCTATTTTTATACTACTTTCCGATAAAACACGTATCTCTCCAGTAGCCATCAGAACTTATGAACTTTACTATTTTAATATTAGAATTCACTATAAAAACGGATCCTATTACAGAAAACCAGACTTAAACAAAAGCTAGCCCACAGACCAGAAAAGACAACCACTTTAACTAGACTGTGATTTATGCTTCTCTGCCCTGGTAGGTATCAGCGTTGACAGTTTTATCCAATCGGGAACTTGACGACAGACAAAGACGTCTTATATTGACTTGGAGCACCAATTGGATGAAAAGTCGACAGCGAATCCTTCAGAGCAGAGTTGCTAAACCGCAGTATAGATCCGCGACGCCATTAGATGACTCTGGCGCCATTGTGGTTCTTTGGGAAACATTACGAGCGATCCGACAGCTTTCCGTCGTGGTTCTCTTGTTCGCTCGTGCAGCCTTTTGGGTTGGTCAACCGTCCTGTCTTGGCAAAGCGCGGGGCTTCCAACTCTCTGACATCTCTTCCAATTGTAACGTGGTACAACGAAATACAACGCAATACAATGCTCTCGTGGTAAGTCGCTTGCTTTTCCCCACGCGAGATTCCGGATTCAATTCCCGTAGAACCTCATGTGAAACGAGATTGCATGCTTCACACGGGCTAGTCCAACCCCTGTGAAGTATCCTAAACCCTACCCCTATCCTACTTCCTTCCCAATTCTGGCCGTTGAGTAATAAGACCAAGGCGCATACGCGGAGATGCTACTTGGTGACCCTCATGACAAACGACTGCGAGACGAGATGGATATGACATTGAAATATTAATGGAGGATTACTCCGAGAGCGCAAAGCGCTCAAACAAAAGCAACTTTTTTTTTTAAGTAAAAATATTTTTGAATCAATATACCGGAGTTTCTGTTTTTCAAATCAAATTTTTGTAAGAAATGAACAAGATTAGCAAAAGTTGTTGAAATCATTGCTAAATAAACGGCTATTTACTAAAAAATTAAAACAAAAATATTCCAATATTCTTTGAATCTCGATCAATTAGCAAACTTATAAAAGATAAAAAGGTTTCTTCCACCCCCAGAGAAAAATAATCAATTTATTACAGTATCTGTTGACATCAAATAATGATTTAGAATATCACATTTCACTGGTAAGGACTAAGTAACAAGAATTTTAAATACATTTTTCCCTTCCAAAAAACAATTCACTAGGCAAAAAAATTCAAATAATTGCTTGTGCAGTATAAAATCAGCCAATCACATTTCAAACATTTCCATCAATATATTCGTTACCCAATAAAACAGAATTAATAATGATGCCCAAAAAATTATCTATTTTTTATCCCCTTTATCTCCACTGAGTATTTATTACTCTTTTGGGCAAAGTGGTCTTGTAATATATTCCAGATCCATAGAAATTCTTCAAAAGAAATTGTCCATTGTATTATGCATCATCCAATGCATTAATGTTCCCATCAATGGATATATAATATTTTAATGATTATCCAAAAATACTTTTCTGAAAAGTTTCATGACATGTTAATGTGACAAATTTCATGACCTTGTTTAGCTGAAACTAATCATACTCCTTTTGATATTTCTGAAAGTGAGTCTAAATTAGTATCAGGTTTTAACGTTGAATATTGAAGAGGTGGTTTGCATTAATTTTTATGGACGAATATTTAAGAATTTTATTTATGAGAATATACACTGTTTTGATTATTTTTGGGGTGATTATTTTCTTGATTTTATTTATTATTGGTTTGTGTATCGTTTATTTTTATTCGAGTCCGGGGGAATCTGCCACATTTTCGTTATGATAAGTTAATGTATTTAGCTTGAAGGACTTATTTACTTATTACTTTAAATTATTTAATTTTTTCTTTGCTGTATTTTGTTTTGAGTAAATAGTATGGTTTATTGAGACATTCTAGGAAGTTAAGTTAATAGAATAATAATTCTATCTTTTGTTTTTAAAAAATGTTTTAAGCTATTTAACTTAATTTATTAATTGATCTCATAATTTAAATATATTGGGATTGATGAGGACGAATATAAAGTATCTGATGGTTAAAATTTGTCCTGTTAAAATATATGGATCTTCAACTGGTTGAGCGCCAATTCAAGTTAATGAAATAACAATGAATGTCTAAATTCAGAATAATATTTGGTTAATTGGCTAGAATTACATTCTTTGGAATTTATTATTGGATGGCAAAGGTAAAACAAAGAAAATAGCAATGAATGAATGCAGGCAATTATTAGAAATAGAATGCGAGTTCCTACTATCCATGTGTGTATTAAATTATAAGATCCATAATATATTCCATGACCTACATGAACATTATGAATGATGCTTCATTAGCATGTATTGTTTGTAGAAGTCAACCAAAATTTATATTTTGGTAGATATGACTGATTCTTTTAAATGCTATGTTAATGTTGGCAATATAATGTATTGCTAGGATTATATCAGTTATAATTTGAATAATTAAGCATAATCCTAATAGGGAGCCAAAGTATCATTATAAGTGTCAAAGTCTTATAATATTAGATGGAGTTGGTAAGTCAATTAGTGCAGTCAGTAAGTCAGTTAATAATTTTAAATAATGGTTGATTTGTTCATAAAGGTTTATTCATTAGTTATTAATTTGAATGTCATAAGGATCCTTTTTAATGGGAGGTAACTTTCACAATAATAATTAATGTAATTAAGAGACAAAGAATTGTAATAATTGATAGAAAGAGATTTGGATAGTTGTAAGTTATTATTTTCTATTGTGATATTAAAAATTTTATTTATAAAAGAATCATTTTTATATAGATGGAATGATAATATATGATTATATAATAAAGTTATAATTAAAATGATGATAGTGAATATTATAAGACTAGTTATTATGGTTTTAATGGGTAATATGATGCTAGTCTTGTAATATAAATTTATAATACTAATATTCCTCCTAGGAAGATTATGAACAGGATATAGGAAAATCAGAATGAATAGGAGATTGATCCTGTAATAAGGCAGATTATTTAAGTTTGAATTATAATAAGTCCAAATACATTAATTGGTTCTTCCTTAACCTACATGTAACAAAAAGCAATCATTAGCAGCAAGTAAGTAAACCACAAACATATGCAGCACATATTATCATTATCATTAAAATAAAAATGCAATAATTCGCACAATCATATATATGTTACACTTAGAACGTATGTTACAACAGTGTTTGTGCTACATTAATTTACTGTTCAAATCATTACTCTAAATCATAGAACTTACCCGATTCTATTTTAATGCTTCCGTTTCTATTTTAATAATACTTTCCGTTAAAATATTAATCTCTTCCATCATTATCACAGTCAGATCACAAATCACACGAGGACAATTGTATATCCTATTGAAGATAAAGATAAGAAAGAAAATGTCTTTATCAAGCAATGATGTCATGAGCATGTGGTCCTTCTCAGGGGTCCGCATAGAAGACGGTTTGTTTGTGAATGGAATGAGAGCGGCCTGCGCCTAGGAGCGCTCTTCCGCTGTGGTTGATGTTTTCTTTACTGCTTCTGGTTTCTCCCGTGCAAGTTCTTTCCGGTTGCGATGCTGCCGTGACTGAACTCGCCTTAGTTTGCGAGGCTGTTATGTTGAGGGGGCGGAGCGTATTTATGCCTCATGGAGTTGGGGTTGATGGGAATGTTATTGTGGAGTGATAAATTGGGTATGTGGATGGAGTTGGTAATTGGTGGTTTGTTCTTCAGGGAGGTCGAAGTTTGAGGATGTCGGAGGGTAATCGTTTGTTTGGAGAGGTGGTTGTTTTGTCTAAATATTGTTTGTATTTCAGGGTGAGTGGGTTTAAAGTTTGGTCTTTGAAAATGTTTGTCACTTGTCTTTTTGCTGTCTCGTAGATGTAAGGAAGTATTGGCGTCGTTTGTTTCGCTTTATGGAGTGTAATCGTAGCCACTCCAGTCGAGGACGGTATGCCTTTTTAAGAAAATGGTTTTCTGCCCTTCAGCCTGTAGGTTTGTCGGGTTTGCTGTGGCCCAGGTGTCGCAGGCGTATGTTCCAGCGCTGCGAATGCATGCATTGTAGATTAAGATTTTCGTTTGGTCTTTTATATAGTTGCTACTAATCATGGAGAGTTTTGCAATCCTGGCGAGCATGTTTTTGGCAGCTGTCATATGGTCCCGCCAGAGTAGTTTTTTGTCGAATATTAGGCCCAGGTACTTGATTTTATTTTCCCATGGGAGTGGCGTTCCTCTCAGTTTAATCTTTGTTGGTAGTGCTCGTGTGTTTGTTTTCCGCCATTTGTTGAAGAAGATGGTTTTGGTTTTAGTAGTGTTGAGCTGTAATCCGTTTTGGTCGCTCCAGTTCGCGAGGTTGGTAGTGGCTTTTTGGAGGCGGTTGACTGCCGTAGTGGTGTTGCCGTGCCTTGCAGTGAATGCCACGTCGTCTGCAAATAGGTATTCACTGACTCCCGGAGTGCTTGGTATGTCGTTGATAAATAAGTTGAATAGGGTTGGGGACCAGACTGCACCTTGCGGGACTCCGGCGTTAATTTGGCGAGTAGAGGAGATTTTGGGTTTGGAATTGGATGAAGAATGTTCTATTGGAGAGGAAGCTGTGAATGAGGTGGCATGTTTTTTCTGGGAGGATAGTGCGACATTTGGAGAGAAGTAGGTGATGGTTGACTCGGTCGAAAGCTTGTGAGAAGTCAAAGAAGATGGCTGGGATGGGATGTTTGAAAGAGAGGGCTGTTGAAATTTCCATGGCCAGGCGGAAGGTTTGGAGGGGGGCAGAGCGACCGCGTGAAAAGTCGAATTGCGTAGGCCTCATGATTCCTGTGGCTGTCAGGTGATTTTGGATAGCACGGAGAGTAATTCTTTCAAAGATTTTTCCAAGGAGAGTAGACTGATAGGTCGAAAGTTGCTGGGATTTTTTGCGAATTTCCTGGCTTCGGTATCATGATTACCTCAGCATGTTTTCACTTTGTGGGAAGTATGCTTGCTCAAAGCATGCATTCATAAGCGAGGTTAGCGCGCTGGTTATGGTGCGGGGGAGATGTTTTAGCATTTCTGCGTTAATTTTATCTGGGCCACTAGCTTTGTTTCGCGCGAGTTTCTTGATTTCTTCCGTAACGTCGTTTTCTGTGATGGTCGGCAGAGATCGGACGTCGGAGAGGTCTGGTCTTGGGCGCCATCTTGGGAGCTTCTGATTGGCGGAGATGTACGGGGCGTTTGGTGCGGACCTGCTGCGCGCGCGAACAGGTAGAGGAGTAAATCTCTCTTCGATTAGTTGAGCGAAGATAGTAGATTTTTTGTTAGGGCCGATGGTTATGTCTCTTGTTGTCGGGTCTTCTAGGGCTGTGATGGGCGGCGCTGGGTTACGCAGGGCTTTTTGGAGTTTCCATATGTCGTGTCTGTCTTTTATGTCGGCTTTTAGTAGGTAGTCTTTCCATTGCTGGTTTCTGTATTCGAGGAGAAGTGAGGGGATTAGTTTTTTGTAGTGGTTGAGGAGGGATTTTTGTATTGGATCGCGGGTTTGGTAGAAGCGTCTTTGGGCTTTTCTTTTTCTCTGACGGAGTGAAGGATGTTGTTGGGAAGGGGTTGTTGTAATTGTCTGTTTGTTTTGGTGGTGTGTCGTTCATAGGAGGATCGTATCTGGTTAGTAATTGTGTCTAGTTTGTCGTCGATTTCTTTTGTGGAGTTAAGTTTTTTTTTTTGCTGCTGTTGACTTTCTTGGACAGTCGGTCTCGGTATTCTTTCCAGTTTGTAGTAAAGTTGGGTTGTTGAGCGTGGTGGTAAGGAAAGGCACCGAGGTAGAGTGCAAATAGGATCGGGAGGTGGTCGGAGTGTAGTTCAAAGAGCGGTTGGGGAACTGACGGTGTTAAAGAGGTGCTCTGGAGTACAATGTCGAGGATGTCGTGGGGCGTGCCGCGGACAAGGTGCGTGCATCCCGATGGCGGGGAGATTGTCAGGTTGGTCGAGTTGTTAACGTAGGTCAAGAGTTTTCTTCCTGCGGTGTCGTTGCTGTGGCAGCCCCACTCTCTTCTTTTCGCGTTGAGGTCTCCCGCGATGACGTTGGTGGCGCACAGTCTCGTCAGTATGTCGATGTCTGTGTCATGTAGCGTAGCTTGTGGTCGTTTGTAAAGAGATGTGAAGGTTATTGCGCCTGTTGTCGTTCCTAGCTGAATGGCCGTCGCTTCGCAGTCAGTCAGTGTGGGAATGGTTATAGCGGCGTGTGGCAGGGATTTTTTGATGTGGATGGCGGTGCCACCTCCTTGAGTCGGTCGTTTCTGTAAATGTGGTAGCCGGGAACGTTAAATTTTGTCTTGGTCTTGAACCAGGTTTCTTGGAGTAAGCAGATGTCAATTGAGTAGTCTTTAAGGAATTGTTTAACAAGTTCCTTGTTTGCGGGGTCTGTCAGGGTGCCTCCTGCGTTCCAGGAGGCGGCCTTTATGATTTTGTCGTGTACTGGTCGGGCCATTACAGTACTGTTGTAATTGCGCTGAGGATGGTGGAGATTTTGGTAAAGATGTCGTCTGGTGATTTCAGGACTGCGATGATGATCTTGGTTACGCTTACTAGTTTTTTCAGGTTTATGGATTTGAATAAATCGAATAATTCGCGTATTTCAGCGAGCGGGGAGTGTTGGTTTTCTGCGGTGATGTTGGTCGGGTCGTCTTGCGTCGTGATTGGCTCTTGGGAGGTTGTGGTCTGTCGTGATTCGTCAGATCTTGTGGGGGCACCGGTGGCGGTGCTCGCGAGAGTTTCAGTCTTCCTTAGCTCCGGGAACTCAGTAGCGCCGGCTGACGTCTTCAGAATCTTAGGCGTTCGCAACCAGTTCCCGGCGGAGCTACAAAAGAGGGCGGAGACATACAAACAAACCTACATTCTTTTAGCACGCCCCCAGGGCCGATTCAATAGCGTCGTGCGCGCGATCGTCTTGTCTCCCAGCGACGCCTGGCCAGCGAGGGCATCCCGGGCCGCGGGTTTGGTCCGTGGGCGCGGATCCTGTCACCGCACTTGTGCTCCCGCGCTCGCAGAGCTCGAGGCTTGTCGGTGGCAGTGGCGGGAGTTAAGGCGCGGCTGTGGGCCTTTCTCTGTGAAGGCTGTGCAGCGCTGGTTGCGCTGGCGGTCCCGCCAGGAGCGGCGGAGGGAGGCTCCAGGCCTTGCGAGAGCGCG